CCTGCCCACACTGAGCTCTGTGCACCCCCTCTACACCCATCCCACAGCCCAGCAAGGTACAGAAGGATCACCACAACTTCCCTGGCACACACCTCAGAAGAGGAGGGAAGAAGGCTGTAAATGCCCTGAAATGTCTTTGACAAAAACCTGCTTTATGCCCTTTGCTTTATTTCCACTTATAAAACAAAGCCCTACCAGCCCCTCACTAAAGGCAGCTCCTGCTTCCCTCTGCACCACTGGAGGATCTCACCCACCTCTCCCACTAAAGTACAAACATCCACCCACACCGTATATAACCTCTCACAGGCTGTAAAAACGGGAAGCTTTAATTGATACTATATTTCATACTGTTGTGCAGCAAGGACGTACTCCAGGCTGAGCCCTCCAGAGTATCTTCCTCCACCCTGCCTTCCCTGCAAGCCGTTCCCATTGCTCCAGCTCTACTTTTTTGAATTATTACCTACAAGAAAAAAACAAAGCCAAAAAAACAACTACTGAATGTAGAGCTGAGTGGCTCCCATATTCATAAGAGGTTTTATTACTCAGATGGAGGGACTCTCCTTTCTTCCCCGCTTTGACACAGCTAAAGGGTCCTCTAAATAATGCCTTGCATTTCCATATCCTCATAAAAGCCACTACAGTTCTTTCCATAAATCTGAGGCACCTCTGAAATCAGAACAATTCCTCCTGCTCAGCACGGGCAGGGGCTGCCTCGAGACACAAACCCTGGAGCAGCAGAAGGGAGGAGAGGATGCTCCAAGCACTGTGTTTGAATAGAGAGGATTTAGAGGCACCAACTCGTTTCTGGGAAGCAGGAGGCCCCAGCCCTCCCCACCAGCTCCTGGCAGGCTCTCCTTGATCCAGCTGCTCCACGAAGTGAAGGCACAGCAGCTGTGCAAACCAGGCAATAACTGCTCAGCGGGGAGCGAGGCAGGGGCGCCCCACCAAATGAACAAAAGGAAGAAAACAAACCCAGAGAGAAATAAGGGCAATAGAGACAGGCTGGTTATTATAGAACTGCTGCTTGGAATATATCCTCCCAGCTTGGCTGCCAGTTGGCTTCTAGTGCCAGCCCTTCCCCTCCCCTTTCCCACCCTGCCACTCCAGCAGGCTCTGGAGCTGCTTTCTCTAACGCCATTCTTGCTGCAGCTCTTCTCCAAAGCTGGAGACATTTGGGGAGGCTTCCCCCCTCTTTCTTTTCTTGGCTCTGGCTGCTGGCACGCCAGAACTGGCTGGCATCTATTTAAAGTTTCCTTCAAAGCTGAGTTCTCATCGTCTAGGAGAGCGATTTCTTTCAGCCTCTGCCTTTGTTTGGCTCCTCCTGCAGAGGTGCCGGTAGCAGCTCCGCTTTCAGCTTTTCCTTGGCTCCTGGTGCCTATTGAAAATCCCACATTTCAAAAGGGAAGGAGAGGGCACCACTCCCTCAAATGGGAACATCTCCTGTGAATGCACCATGGCTGCCTTCTCCCAGAGCCTGGTTTATCATCCTGTGCAGCCCCAAAGGGAAGAGCTTTGGGAATTCAGACGATTTCAGCGCGCACAGACACCCGCGAGACGCGGTGCCACCGTCGGGTGCCACACCAGAAGCTGCTGCAAGACTGATCAAAGCTCCCAGACTCTGCCAGGCCAAACACGTCAGCTCTGTTGTCACCTCAGTGCCACAGGGATGCTGATGCCAACCCTCTGTAAAAACCACATTTAATCCCCCACAGGAGATCTCCAGGGAGGAGCAGGTCCTTTCTTCTCCATCAGCATTAAAATGCAGGTGCTGAGCCTTGGCAAACACATCCAGCCACACTTTTCCTGGGTTTCATTGAAATTTCCCAGCCCAGCTCAGTTCTGTGATGTCTTTAAATGCTTTGTAATATTTCGCTGCCAGTTGGGTGGCGCCTTGGGATTTGCTGTTATTCAAAAAGAAGGGACAACTTTAAGAGCTTTTTCTCTTCCCAAGCAAGAGACTGTCATCACATAAAATGCTGAGATTTCAGGGAAAGTGATAGCCACTGCAAAATGTCTTGGCTGCTTCTGTGCGAAGAATTTGACTGTTTCTCATAAAAAATATTTTAAAAGTTTTCGCAGTTTGTAATTATATTTTACAGTTTCATTACAAAGCTCATTTTAATTCTTCTCCAAACCGTTGTTACCAGTCCTCTTGCCACTTTCTCTTCAGAAAAGTCATTAAGTCGGGACAGGAGATCATCCCATTTCCCCCAGTTTCAAGGATATTAATCTGCTTTATTGGTATTTCATTGTCATTTTCATTCGAGTGTTCCCTGCATTTGCATAATTTGCATTGCCACTCCTTTCCTGGTGACAAGCACAGGTTCAGCTTTCCACTTTCATTCTACGGAGTCTCACTGCATTTTGTTTATTTTCTTTTTCAGGACACACTGTCTTTCCTGGGCCAGAACCACAAGCTGGGGAAAGGATGCTGAGGTCCTGTGTCCATCCCTGCCTTCCTGGTTGACCTTCAACAAATACCAGAACCAGTGTGAGCTCCCAGTCCAAGTGCTGATTTGTCCAGTTCCCATCCCAAAGGGACACAAGTTAGCACTGGAGGAACCTCATGTCCCAAATGCAGGAGTTTCTGTTCTCCAGTTACTTGGAACCATCTCTGAAAATTTCAAGTATTCATATGTGGCTTAGACAATCATTAAAACCAATGTGTAGACAAGTCCCTTGTTTCAAATCCTTAAATCACAGAATGGTTTGGCTTGAAAGGGACCTTAAACATCCTCTTGTTCCAACCTCCTGTCATGGGCAGCAACACCTTCCACCAGACCAGGGTGCTCAGAGCTCCATCCAAACTGGCCTTGAACACTTCCAGGGATGTGGCATCCACGCCTTGATGTTATCTTCATGTCTCCACTGAACTCATGTTCAGTTCCTCCAATGTGTGAACACAAAGTAGATCTCTCCTCCTCTTTCCTAAAAGGGCCAAGCTGTGACCCCCTGGGCTATCCCAGCTACCCAGAAACCAATCTTAGCAGGGCTAATCCCACTTCAAACACACTGGTGACTCCCATTCTGCCATGGGGTGATGATTTCAACCCCCCTCCACTGGTCCCTGCAGGTCTCATGCCACTGTGTGTCGTCGCAGACATCTTTTGTGAAAAATCTTTTCTTGAGATTTTTCTCTCGTCTGAGAAGCTGGGGCCTCAGAAACAAGATGTAAACAATAGTTATCTGCTGCTGTAGAATGCATCAGGTTTTGTCTGTGATTGGGCCACCTTGAATGTTTACAATTAATGGCCAACCACAGACCAGATAGCTTAGACTCTCTGTCCGAGACACAGATCTTTGTTATTCATTCTTTTCTATTCTTAGCTTAGCCTTCTGAGGAAACCTGTCCTTCTTTTCTTTTTAGTATAGTTATAATGCAATATATATATAATAAAATAAAAAAATCAAGCCTTCTGAACATAGAGTCAACATTCTCATCCCTCCCTTCACCTGAAAACCCCTGTGACCACTGTCACAGTGTGTCTTTAACCATCTCCCCCTCCCCAAAACAGCAGTCCCCCAAGAGCTGCTCTCCATTCCAAAGCTCCCAAAGCAGGGATTTGTCCCAGAGCTGACTGCACCAGGACACCTCAGCAGCTGCTGATGCACTGGCTGCATGCAGCATGTTTCTGGCAGAGAGAAAGTGCCCCCTCTGCATGCCCCAAGCAGTGAGACGAGTGCAGGAGCTGAGGAATTGGAACCGACTGAATAATGGGTCCTGTCTGCTGGAAGAAAATGAAATTTGCCCTCATGTTACTGAAAACTTGCACTCGACGCTCACTGCACATTATAAAGAAAAGGTCAGTGAAACACAACAAATGCAAGGAGCCCAGTTGGAGAAAGCAATAAATAGTGACAGCAGCACTTGTCTAATTCATCAAAGCATCTGTGCCTTTGCTCAAACCCCAGCAATTTCCCTCCATGCTGCTGCAAGGGCTGGGATGAGCAGCTCTGCTGCTGCAGGACAAAACAGCTCTGCTGCTGCCTGTCTGTGCAGCTCCCAGGGCTCCTCAACGAGTTTGGAGGAGAACAGAAATATCCATCAGACGCAATTAGCACCAATGATAACAATGATAATATTAATTGACATGACTGAGATTTTGGCCTCGGGCTCGCAGATGTGCTTGTGGAAAGGGAGATCCCTGCAGTCAAACACAGCTGGGGCATTCCTAAAGAGAGGAATCTCCATGTCCCAAACACACCCAGAGGGGCAGCAGGAGGGGGGGGCCACAGAGAGCAAGGCACAACTTTCCCAGGCATTGTGCTGGGGAAGGCTGTAAGAGGATCAGAGAAAAGAATAATAAATTCTTATCTTCCCTTGCTGCACCTGTTGTGAACATGTGAAATGTGTTATGGAGATTTGTTTACCTAAGGGTGGTTTCTTAATTGGCCAATGGTGATGGTGTTTGGATGGATTGACCAATCTGGTCTGACTGTATCAGACAGTCTGTAAGGGCGATGTATTGTATATTTGGGGTGCCTTGATGAAGGAATGATGCATCTGACTCCATATTCTCAGAAGGCTAATTTATTACTTTATTATACTATATTATATTAGAGACTACTATACTAAACTATACTAAAGAATAGAGAAAGGATACTTACCGAATGCTAAAACGACAATAATGAAAACTCCTGACTTTTTCCCGAGTCCTGACACAGCTTGGCCCTGATTGGCCAAAGAGTGAAAACAACTCACAGCTGAATCCAATGAAATAATCACCTGTGGGTAAACAATCTCCAAACACATTCCACATGAGCTCAACACAGGAGAAGCAAATGAGATAAGAGTTGTTTTCTTTTTTCTCTGAAGCCTCTCAGCTTCCCAGGAGAAAAACCCTGGGCAAAGGGATTTTTCAGAGAATGTGAATGCCACAGCGATGGGTTTCTTAACAAGTATAGTATAATAAAGCGGTGGATCAGCCTTCTGGAATCATGGAGTCAGTGCCAATTATTACCACAACAGGAATGCCATGCCACGATTAGGAGTGTCTTACCATCAGCAATGAAGTGCTCGGGGACGTGGAGCGTCACCTTGACGGTCAGCGGGCAGGAGAGCTGCGAGCCGCACACCACGGCCAGCACGCAGGAGCTGACCGCGATCAGCGTCAGCGCCGTCTTGTTCACAGGGCTCTTCATGGAACCTGCAAGGCACACACAGCCGTGGGTGGGGGGCCAGAAGGGAAAGATGTGCCCAGGGCTTTGTCAGCAGAGGCAGGGAAGAATCAACATGGGGAAGGCAGGCGTGGAGAACAAGGACGGGAGCTCAAGAAGGGTCTGCATACCCCAGGGTTCCCATCACACCTTGTTTGGCACAGGGTTTCATTTGGCTAGAGGAGGGAACCCCCCAAAAAAACCTGCTCAAAGCCCTGTACAGACCCTCTCCCTGGGAACTTCTCCTCCCTGGAATCACTCATCACACCTGCCATGCTTCCCTGCTGAAACCACCATCACTTCTTGTCAATATTGGTTGGCTTTGCAACCCACTGTGAAACCCTGTGGGGCAGGACCCGAGGTGGTTAGGAGAGCAGAGGCTGCTCATAGCATGGGTAAGGGGCTAGGGTCTACTATGTGATAGGAATGTGCTTGGTGTGCCACTGAGAGTTGGATATTTTCTTGCAGATAGAGGCTCAGTAGGAGCACAAAGACATAGGCTTGGATTACCCCACCACAGCATCCCCTGGTTGGAGCCTGCACAGGGAATGCTCCAACCTGGGTTTGTAGGACAGGAGAAGTGGCTGATTTGCTGGAAAATACCTCCCCATCACTGAGACCAACAGGAGCAAGTAAATTGATTATTTATGAAGCGTCTTTCCTTATGCATGGATCATCTAAACAGCCATCCCACTCCTATTTCGCAGCTTAACTGCCAATACTCTGTGCCCCTCACCTTGCAATCCTCTTTTTTTTTTTCTTTTCCAATCTTTATTCATATCATCAGCATAAGTTAGCACTTCCATGGGAGGCAAATTCCTCCTCTTGCTGGGCATACTGTGCCTGCCACAACCCCTGCTTGGCTTGAAGTTATAACACGAATGCAAAAAAGTAAAAAAGAGGAGGAGAAAAAAGGGAAAAAAAAGGAAGGGAAAAAAGCCCCCATGAGGATAAGTGGACAAAATCAAATATAGAATGGACCAGACAACGCGGTATTTCACCCTTATAAATCACGTTTCAATCCAGGGTCTTAGAGTACTTTGCAAACATTAAATCATAAATCCCTTATGAGTGAGACAAGTATTATCCCCTTTTCACAAAGAGCCCAAATCCCAGGTATGATGGCAGCTTTCACCAAACTGCAGCCAGAGTGGAGCTGCAGGAATTAGGATTTCACATCCCCAGTGGTCCATGTGGCTTCTTCTCTCCCCATGACTCAGAGGAGAGCAGCACAGGGGCTTGGAACAGCAAAAATCCCTTTACAGTTCCTTGAGTTTGAGCTTGGCTGCTCAAGGAAAGGGACAATTGCTCCAAGTCTCCTGTAACTCCCTTCCCTCCTGCACTCTCTCATTTCCATCACTGCTAACCACTGACCTCTACAAGTGCCTCGTGTTTGGTTTTGACCAACTGAACCAAAACAAGAGGGCTTCTGCTCGAGCTGAAATTGGGTTTCCAGCTCAGCTCTTTATTGTTCACGACCAGTTAGCTGCCAGGTTTCACGGGAGACTGCTAGAAAAGCACTTAAAAGAGAGGGACTGGAATTTTGTTTTCCATCTCTTTCCCTGCTCTGTGGACCACTGATGCTCCAGCATTGCTGTGCTGCATTTAAAAACCTATCTGGAGATAATCAGCTTCACTCCAAGCCTTTAAAACCACAAGCAAATGTATTTTCAGCAAGGCCCAGCTAACCAAACCCATCTCAGCAAGTTCTCCAGGGCTGCACCCTGGTCCAGAGGTGAGACAAACTGATGCCTTCCTTCTTCAGTCCAGGGAAAGGATCCAAACCCAGCTCAGTAGCTCAGGCAGCCCCAAATAAACCCAATGTCACAAATGAGAGGTTGGCCTGGCTAAGCCTGGGCTTTCCCTCCTCTCCTTGTCATCTCCAGGCCTTCAGGGAAGTGCTTGAAGGGCAGATTTCAAACTCCAGGTGCACCAAACAATCTGGTATCAATGTCCTTTCCAAGAGGAGGAAGCTGGGTGGGGAATACAAGACCTTTATGGATGGTTAAGAGCTCCAGCACCCAAGAGAACCCTGGTTTGGGTCTTGTGGGGTTTCAAAAAGCCCAGGAGGAAGATGGTAACCAGGCATGGCTGAGATTAAACTCACTCTCCAGATCTCTCTCCCCTAATAAATGCTTCATACATTAAGATGATCTCTCTATATCCTTAATCAAAGATGTTTCTGTAGTGTTCAAAGGTTGCAACAAAGTGAGTGGATTTCCAAGTGCTCGCCCAAGCAGTTTTGGAGGGAAAAACCTGGACCATGGGGATTCCCAGGGAATCTGCACCCAAACAGGGCAGGGCACACCATCAGGATGAAAAATAGGAATAAATTACTTCTATCCAGAGAGAAAGAACTTCTCCCCACAGCCCACAAAATCCAAGGAGAGAGAGGCAGAAAGGAAAAGCAAAGTGCTCCATTTCAGGGCAGAATCATACTTGACATGCTCCCTCTAATTAAGGGTGGCTTAATTAGACTGGGAAACAAGAGGAAGGTCCAATGCCGTGGTCAGAAGGACTCTGGCCACCACCACCTTCCCCACCCAGGATTTTTTTGTCTCCCCTCAAACCCCAGTGCAAATTATCCTGGTGAGGACACGAATCCCTGCTCAGAAACCGCGTGCAAAGCACCACATTCCCCTGAAGATTTTGCACCTGCTGCAAGATGAAGATAAATTCAAAGGCACTGGTGTAAACACTCAGCAAACAGCCCCTCCAAACGCACCGTGTCTCCTTTGAAATATCATTTCCTCGTGCATTTAATTACTCACTGCTTTGTACACTTTCCTTTGCCTGCCCAAAAAACAAGGAGGGGGGAAAAAGCCCAACAAAACTCTGGGCTCAATTCTTCTTAATATTGGCAGTGCTGCCTAAATTTAGGGGGGGGAGAAGAAAGAAAAAAAAAAAGAAAAGAAGAAAGAGAAAAGGTGTGTTCAGAACACGTATGGATTTATGAGCAACACAAATATCCCGTGTTCTCAGTAATATGCTGTTTCTAAATCAGGCTCATAAATACATGCTTGGGAGATTAGTCTATAAAAAAAAAATAAACTTTAATTACCCCCTCTTTATCAGCACACAGCCCATGGTGCTAACCATATGTGGGTGTTAAACGCCAAGTGCTTTGCAATCTTCCCCACCCCCCGGGAGACAATGGCATCACAGAGAATGCTCCGTGGCCACTCGGATATGGAAATGTATTCCCAGCTCCTGAGGAAGAGGGGCTGGGGAGAACATCGAGTGCTGGGAGTGCTTAGCAACCCCTGACGAGCTGTGCTGCATGCAGGGCACCCAGCTTGGGGACAGCAGCATCCCCTGGGGGGACAACAACACCTCTAGGGGACAGCAGGACTTCTGGGGAACAGCAGCATCCCCTGGGGGGGACAGCCAGCCCAGCCCAGGGACATGAGCATCCCTGGGAGACAACAGTACCCCTAGGGACAGCAGCATCCCTGGGGGACAGCCAGCCCAGCCAAGCCCAGCTCGGGGACATTAGCACCCCTGGGGGACAGCAGCATCCCCAGGGGACAGCAGCACCTCTGGGACAGCCAGCCCAGCCCAGCCGCATCCCTGGGGGACAACAGTACCCCTAGGGACAGCAGCACGCCCTGGGGACAGCCAGCCCAGCTCAGCTTGGGGACAGCAGCATCTTTGGGGGACAGCAGCACCCCTGGAGACAGCAGCATCCCTGGGGGACAGTGGCATTTTCGGGGACAGGTCAGCCCAGCCCAGCCCAGCTCGGGGACAGCAGCATCCCTGGGGACAGCCAGCCCAGCCCAGCCAAGCCAAGCCCAGTCCAGCTCGGGGACAGCAGCACCTCTGGGGGACAACAGCATCCCTGGGGACAGCAGGACCTCTGGGGGACAGCCAGCCCATCCCAGCCCATCCGACACCCAGGGATGCTCCCGGCCCCTGCCGCTGTCGCAGCCATGCAGGAGGAATGGGGCTCCCCTAATGCTCCATGGTTGTGTTGCAGCAGAGGCTCATTAATAGCACAGAGCAGCGTTTCCAGGACAGCCTCACACACAGACACGTCCCCGGGTGTCCTACGAGGGACAAATCATGTCCAATCAAGGCAAACGCCAATTAAGAGGAGCTGTGGCTGTTGGCAGGAGGCTCTGGACATGGAGCAGCCCTGCACGGGGAGGGAGCAGCGCTGCCTGCCTCCCCTCCTGCCCTGCAGCCTCCTCTTCCTCAGCAGGATGGTCCCTCTGGGGCATGGGATGGGAAATAGGGATGGGATGAGCAATTGGGATGGGAAATGGGGATGGGATGGGAAATTGGGATGGGACAGGATGGGAAACGAGGATGGTAAATTGGGATGGAATGGGAAATTGCAAAGCGAAATTGGGATGGGATGGGTAATTGGGATAGGAAATGGGGATGGGAAATGGGGACAGGATGGGATGGGAGACTGGGACGAGATGGGACAGGATGGAACGGGATGGGAAATGGGATGGGAAATGGGATGGGAAATGCTCCTTCCAGTCAGACACAGCTCTGCTGCACCATGACCCCACCAAGCCTTCACACAGTGACCCAGAGCCCCTTCCTTCTAAAGCAGAGGGATGTGGATGCAATGAGCCCCCCAGGCAGGGGGGAGAGCACAGGCTGGTGCTCCATCACACACCATCTACACCACAGCCTCTTCCTCAGGCATGTTCATCACTGCAGTCCTGGAGAAATCCCAATGAAGGTGCCCACAGCTCCAGCCCAGCTCTGGCTCACTGGGCACTGGGCTGCCTCCAGCCTCATCCCAGAGCCAGCAGGATGTGGATCAGCCCTCAAGTGGCAGCTCTGCTTGCCCTGTGTTGGGGGAGAGCCCTGAGGAGCCCCTCCAAGGACACCGAGGGTGCACAGAGGAGGGAATGAGGAAAGGAGGAGGAGAGGCAGCACGCTGTGCAGCAGAAGGGTGAGATCAGAGTCGCTTCTGGATTTATAGAGGATTAGATCTTGCTGAGCACATGCTGAATCAGATTAATACTATTAA